GCATGATGTCTGCCTACGACATCCCCAACGCCTACATAGAGGGCTACGACATAGTGGTAAACCGGCCCAAGACGTCGGCCTACCGCGCCCCGGGTTCTCCGGCAGCCGCCTTCTGCATAGAAACGGCCATTGACGAACTATGCGAAAAAATTGGGATGGATCCCGTAGACTTCCGCCTAATGAACAGTTCCAAGGAAGGTGTGCGTCGAGTCACTGGTCCCCTCATGCCCAAAGTAGGCTTCATCGAGACCCTGGAGGCGGCGAAGGCCCATCCTCACTATTCGCAGCCCCTTGAGGGCCCCTATCGCGGCCGAGGCATCGCAAGCGGCTTCTGGGGCAACAATACCGGCCCTTCCAGTGCCGTAGCCCTCGTGCAGCCGGATGGCAAGATCAGCCTGACCGAAGGGTCTCCTGACATTGGTGGTACCCGAGCTTCCGTTTCCCAGCAGATGGCCGAAGTCCTGGGCATTCCCATGGAGGACTAGCCTCCCAGATCGGTGATACCGATTCCATCGGCTTTACGTCCAATACCGGCGGCAGTGGTGTCACCTTCAAGACCGGATACGCCGCCTACGTGGCAGCCCAGGATATCAAGCAGCAGATGATCGAGCGCGCGGCCAAGTTGTGGGATGTAGATGTCGAGGACGTTGAGTACGAGAACGGCGTTTTGCAGCATAAGTCGGACCCTGAACTGCGACTCACCTTCCAGCAGTTGGCGGCTCGACAGAATCCCACGGGCGGACCAATAGTGGGTCGGGCAGGTGTAAACCCCGGCGGCGCCGGTCCTGCTTTGGCAACCCACATTGTTGACCTGGAAGTAGACCCGGACACCGGTAAGGTCACAATTCTACGGTACACCGCCCTGCAGGATGCTGGAAAGGCCATTCACCCCAGCTATGTAGAAGGTCAAATCCAGGGCGGCGTGGCCCAGGGAATTGGCTGGGCCCTTAACGAAGAGTACTTCATCAACGACCAGGGCCACATGGTCAACTCCAGCTACCTGGACTACCGGATGCCCACCAGCCTGGACCTGCCAATGATCGATACCGTGGTGGTGGAAGTCGCCAACCCAAGCCATCCCTTCGGTGTTCGTGGCGTAGGTGAAGTTTGTATAGTGCCCCCGATGGCCGCCATATCCAACGCGCTTTACAATGCTATCGGTGTGCGGATGAACAGCCTGCCGATGAACCCTGGTGCAGTCCTTGAGGCGCTCTGGGGTAAGGAAAACGGCAACTAGGGAAGATCAGCGAGTAATAGCCATGCCTGAAGTCTGGATACCCACCACCATGCAGAGCCTTACCGGCGGCCTTCATAAGGTACAGATAGAAGGCCGTACGGTTCGACAGGTCATTAACAACCTGGACCAAGAGTTTCCCGGGGTAAAGGCCATCCTCTATGACGAAGAGGAGGACGACCTGCAAGCGGGCATCGCCGTTATTGTGGATGGTGAAGCCAGCCAGATTGGCTTGCTGGAGAGAGTCCAGGAAACCAGCGAGGTCCATTTCCTGCCCGCGATAGGCGGCGGGTGACGAAGGGCCAGACATAGTCTTGGCAAACAATAGGGCCGGGCAATTTGCCCGGCCTCTTCTTTTGGCTGGTAACCGCCGTCAGGGCTAGAAAAAAGTGCTGGTAGCCTCGGATGCTAGAATGGTTGCACCCAGAATTCCGGTCCAAAACTACCCTGGCTAATGGTGAGGGTGCAAACATGGTTGAAGCTTCAAATAACCGCAATACCGACGCTGTCTGGGATTACCACAACTCCACCAAGCACTCCTGGCACAGCGTCCATACTTCCAACCATCGCCTGGACTGGAGCAATCAGCCCTCGCCCTTCAAGATTTATCCTCAATTGGAAGGCCAAAAACTTCCAACTGATCTGGTTTCCAGTGATCTTCCGGCGTTGGCAGCGCTAACCGCCCCTGACGGCCACCAGGGAAAGCCAGTAGATCTTAGGAATATCGCAGGGCTCCTTTACTACGCCGCCGGAATTACCAAGCGAGGCATAGTGCAGGGCGGTCAGCTATTCTTCCGTGCCGCGGCCTGTACCGGCGCCCTCTACCACATCGAGCTATACCTGGTCTGTGGTGGCCTCGACGGCCTGGAAGACGGTGTGTACCATTTCGGCCCCCACGACTTCTCCTTGCGCCAGTTGCGAAAGGGTGATTACCGGCGAGTGCTGGTTGAGGCTTCCGGCCAGGAGCCTTCCGTAGCAAGCGCGCCGGCAATTCTGGTTACAAGTTCCGTATACTGGCGCAATTCCTGGAAGTACCAAAGTAGGGCGTACCGGCACTCCTACTGGGACAGTGGCACAATCCTGGCTAACCTGCTGGCAATGGGCTGTGCCTACGATTTGCCACTCGGGGTAGTAACGGCTTTCGTAGATGAACCCGTAAATCAGCTGCTGGGTTTGGACACACTCAAAGAGGCGGCGCTACATATGATCCCGGTGGGCAATACACCGACACCTGGGCCCGCGGATTACCCTGATATGCCAGTATTAGAACTGGGAGTCGCACCATATTCGGCCAGGGAAGTTGACTATCCCCAGATTAATGATATACACACGGCAACGTCATTGGTTGCTCCAGGCGAGCCTGTGGAACTGCGAGCGAACGTCCCGCAGGCGGTGGATCCTGAAATTTACGGGGAATTGATCCCCTTGACACCCATACCGGAAGAGGGGGTACCCAAGGAAACCATTGAACCGGTAATAGTCAGGCGTGGGTCCAGTCGCCGTTTTCGCAGAGCCCCAATAACCTTCCCGCAGCTATGCACAATGCTGGAATGCGCCGGACAAAATATTTCCACCGATTTCTTGGGTATCCCAAACAGCAGCCTCACTCAAAGCTACCTGGTAGCAAATGATGTGGAAGGCCTGGAACCGGGAACTTACGCTTTCCACGCTGAATTGAAGGCTTTGGAACGACTCCCGAAGAGCGCATCAAGGCAGGAAGCGGGTTATCTGGGCCTGCAACAGGAATTGCCTGCCGACGCCAGCGTTAGCATTTATTTCCTCGCCGATCTGAAAGCAATCATGGAAAGGTACGGCAACAGGGGATATCGGATGGCGCAGACCGAGGCTGCAATCCGCGCCGGTAAAATATATTTGGCGGCCTATGCCTTGCGGCTGGGAGCGTCCGGTCTGACCTTCTTCGATGATGACGTCACCGAATTCTTCTCTCCCCACGCCTCGGGCAAGAGCGTAATGTTCCTCATAGCGGTGGGACGGCCACGGGCAAGACTGCGGGCAGCAAACTGAAAGCCGCAGCAAGAGGGCGACGCTGTTATCGTTAATGTTGAAAATGTCGCAATTGGCCCCTAAATTGCCACAGATTCTGTTTTCACAATCTTGCCGGTTCGCGCCGATTCAATGGCGGCCAGAGTAGTTTCCACCACCCTGAGGCCATCCACACCGGTGGCTGCAGGTTCACGGTCTTCTGCAACGGCCTGCTGGAAGTCCTCAGTTTGGGCGATGAAGTTCCCCAGATAGTTGTCGGGATAGGCCTCGGACCGTTGTACTGTGTCCGAAACCACTTCGATTTCCCCTTTCTGGGCCTCCCACACGGTTTCCTTGCTGGAGAACCGGCCATTAATTCCGTAAAGAGCCAGGTCATTCCGGGTGTCGGGCAAGAGGCGGCCGCATACCACGGTGCCCAGGGTGCCGTTACTGAACCGCAAAGCCAGAGTGGCAATTTGCTCCAAGGGTCGGACGGCGGTCTGCCCGTCGGTAATGGCCGCCACCTCCACAATCTCCTGCCCCAGAACGAAGCGCAACAGGTCCATGACGTGGACGCCGGTTCCCATTATGGTCGAGGCCCCGCCGATAGCATCCGGGTCGTCCCACCACAGGCGCAGTCCTTCCCTGGGCGGAAACACTTCCTGCCCCCTTGTTCCGAAGCCCCACTGGCCCTGCGCCAGGGTTACCCTTCCGAGGGTTCCCTCGGCTACCAGGTTGCGAGCCAGGATATGTCCGGGGTTGTGGCGCAGTTCGAATCCTACACCTAATTTGACACCTCTATCGCGACAGGCCCGCACCATTTCCAAAGCATCTTCCAGTGTGGTGGTCATGGGTTTTTCGCACAGCACGTGTTTGCCGACTGCCGCTGCCTGAATCGCCTGTTCGGCGTGCAGCGAGTTGGGTGAGGCTATAAAGACGCCGTCAATGCGACTATCTGCCAGGATTGCGTCCAGAGAATTGTAGGCAGCCATGGCGCCGTGTCGTTCTGCAAAGGCCTCAGCCCTGCCCTGGTCACGACTGTAGACGGCTACCAATTCGGCTTCACTGGCAGCGCTGATGGCCGGCGCTATCTTGTTTTCAGGATGTAGTCCTGTGCTGATAATTCCCCATCCAAAAGCCAAAGCAGACCTCCAAGCAGAGCCAATCTAAAATTGGTGCCAACGATAGGGAAAGCTTACCCAGGTGTCAAACTTGTGAAAGGGAAACGCGGTACTCTCTCCAAGGCTAACTAACCTGCCAATAGAGGAAGGTTCGATTTAACATAATAAGTTCGTTACACGGGAAAACTCTTTTCCTTGACATTAGTTGGCCGGAGTCTTAAATTAGGGCGTGTTCTGTGCAGGATTGCACGGCACTTTTAAATCGATAAGAATGTTTCCGGGGCACCGATACGGTTTAATTGGGAAGGCGGTGAGACTCCGCAGCGGTTGCGCCACTGTAAACGGGAAGCACTTCGGCAACAACGCCACTTTCAATTGTCCGGCTACTGGTTTGGTTGGAACGGTCGGGAATTTTGTTGGGAAGGCGCTGAGAGTGCAAAGATCCGTAAGCCAGGAGACCTGCCTCGGGAACTGGGACCCTCGCTCTGCGCTATACGGAGTCGGTTCGTGGTAGAAGCTTGCTGTTAGCTTCTGCTGAATGGAGAGATTGACCGATCGCCCGGGCCGCTGAGCCCGGGTTTCTTATTTTCTGGAAGGGTTGATTCACCCTTCACCAACCTTGGGATAGGCGCTGAATGAGCACTGCAAACGCTGGAATTTCGATGACCGTCGTGGCTGTGGGTCCGGGCGACCCGCGAATGTTGACCCTCCGCGGTCGTCAGGCCCTGGAATCTGCCGATTTAGTCGTAGGATTCAAGACAGTTTTGGACGTGGTTTCCGAGTGGTGCGGAAATGCTGAAGTCCGGCCAATGAGCTATCGTGACCAGGAAGAAGTTCTTGAGTACGCCGCCGAGCAGGTTGCAAATGGCATTAATTGCGTGGTGTGCTGTTGGGGGGATCTGAACGTCTCCGCGCACGAGCTCCTGGCAAGAGTTTATCGACGTGCTGAACATGTTGAGCTAATCCCCGGGGTTAGTTCGATCCAGATGGCCTGTGCCCGAGCCGGCATTGCCCTGGAGGAGTCCCTGTTCATTACCTTGCACCGGCGCGACGGCGGTGAGTCGGCCCTGGCTGAACTGGAACACTACCTGCAAGAAGGACAGCGCAACATAATCTTGTTGCCCCGCCCATTTGACCTGATGCCCCCAGGTATCGCTTCTGACCTCATTGCCGGCGGCATTGAGTCGAACCGCTCGGTAACCATTTATCAGCGGCTGACCCTTGAAGGCGAAAAATCCTGGACCGGCAGCCTGCAAGAATGCGCTGCCCTGACGGAAGAATTCAGTGACCTTTCTATCATGGTTTTCTTGCGCTCCCCTGTCGAAGGACACTGAACGGAAGGTGTCGAGAATTTGACCTCCTCATCAGAAACCAGCCGGAATTCGGTGGTCTTCGTAACCACCGCCGACACCGACATTCTTACCGCCGATCGTGCCCTGTCGGGGCTGCCTGAAGGCATCCCTCAGGTTCGCGCTTACCATCCGGTGGCGCTGGAAACTGATGATGCCCGTCGGGAAATACTTGAGTCAGTCTCTGAGGCTGGCGTGGTCGTTCTTCGTCTATTGGGCGGGAAGCGGGCCATGCCCGAAACATTCGATTCGTTGGTGAGCCTGTGCCGCGAACGGGCAATTCCTCTTATTGCCTGCCCTGGTCACCAGGAATGGGATGAAGACCTGGTTACCGCTTGTTCGGTTCCGGTGGCGGAACTGGAAACGGTCTTCTCCTACTTGATGAGGGGCGGAATCGACAACTTCCGCAACCTGTTCCTTTTTCTTAGTGATACTTACTTTGGCAGCGAGTTCGGCCACGAAGCGCCGGAGCCCGTGCCTTGGGAAGGAATATATCATCCCGACGCAGACCCTTCGGAAACCATCGACGTGGATAGCTATGTTGCTGCCCGTTTCCAGTCCGGTCAGCCCAGCGTTGGCCTTCTCTTCTATCGGGCCCACTGGATGAGTGGCAATCTCCAGTTCGTGGACGATCTGATTCGGTGCCTGGAATCCAGGCAGGTAAACGTACTGCCGGTCTATTCCTACAGCCTGAAACACAATCCCGAAGAGGATGGGCAGCGCAGCCGTACTTTGACTACCTTCATGGCCGACTCCAGCGGAGGGGCCCGGGTGGACTGCATTATCAACACCATGGGCCTGGCCATGAGTGACCTCAGCCAGGAGGGCCCCACCATTGCTACAGGTTGGTCGGTTGACCTGCTGGACGCGCTGGACATTCCCATAATCCAGGGCATCGTCAGCACCGGCTCCCGCCAGGAATGGGAAGAAAGCTCTCTGGGCCTGGGGCCCATAGACACGGCGATGAACATAGCTTTGCCGGAATTTGATGGTCGAATCATCACGGTTCCCATATCCTTTAAGGAAGAGACTGCCGGCAGCAACGGCAGCGGGCTTACCGGATCCAGGCTGCAACGGTATGTAGCCGTTCCCGATCGCATGGAAGCGCTGGCCGGGTTGGCCGCTAAATGGGCTGCACTGCGCCTCAAGCCCAACGCCGAAAAGCGCATTGCTGTCATCATGAGCAACTACCCCACCAAGGATGCCAGGATTGGCAACGCGGTTGGGCTGGACACTCCCGCTTCGGTAGTCCACCTGCTGAACGCTTTCAAAGCTGCCGGGTACATGGTAGAAGACATACCATCCGACGGGGACGAACTCGTGCACCGGCTTATTGAGCGGTGCAGCAACGATCGCGATTCGTTGACCGAGGAACAGATGCGTCTTGCGGCAGGTCACGTGGACCGACGGCAGTATGCCCAGTGGTTCCAGGGTTTTCCTGCCAAGGTGCAGCAGCAATTGCAGGATGCCTGGGGCGACCCGCCTGGCAATGTTTATCGAACCGGTGAGTCCCTGGCCATAGCTGGATTGAATTTGGGCAATGTGTTCGTGGGACTCCAGCCTCCGCGGGGTTTCGGCGAAAATCCTATTTCCGTCTACCATAGCCCGGATCTGATACCCACGCATCATTACATTGCCTACTACAGGTGGATACGGGACGTTTACAAGGCTGACGCCATGGTCCACGTGGGCAAACACGGCACCCTTGAATGGCTGCCCGGGAAGGGTATCGGGCTCTCGGAGGCCTGCTATCCCGAGGTGGCGCTTCAGGACTTGCCCCTCTTCTATCCCTTTATTATCAACAATCCCGGGGAAGGTACCCAAGCCAAGCGGCGCACCCACGCCACCATAATTGACCACCTAATCCCTCCCATGACCACCGCTGACAGCTACGGCGACATTGCCAAGCTGGAACAGTTGATGGACGAACACTATCAGTGCCAGACCCTTGACCCGGCCAAGTTGCCCATGCTGGAAGGACAAATCTGGGAAATGGTCCAACAGGCCGAACTGCACCGCGACCTGGGTGTGGAAGCTCAGCCCGACGATTTTGGCGAATTTATGCTCGAAATCGACGGCTACCTCTGCGAGATCAAGGATGTCCAGATCAAGGATGGCTTGCATACCTTGGGACAGCCGCCTACCGAAGAACAACTGGTTGGTTTGCTCTGTGCCCTTACGCGACTTGATATAGGCGGCATTCCCAGCCTGCGGCGGGCCCTGGCCGAGGCCCTGGGGCTGGACTACGCTGGATTGCTGGATGATCCGGGCCGGGCGGTTAACGGAAATACACCTGTAAAGTTAGTGGAACTGGACACCGAAACGCCGGTTCGAAGCGCTGGCGACGTTATCGAGCGCCTCGAGATGCTGTGCCGCAGCGCCTATGAACAGTTACAGGATGGGGGCTTCCTGAGCAAAGACGTTCCGGGAATAATCACTGGACTGTTGGGTGGCCCTGACACCGCCACCGAAATGGTTCTTCGGTACGTTACCGACTTCATTTACCCGGCCCTGATGCGTACCTCTGATGAGATAGGGAACCTGATCCGTGGATTAGATGGGCGGTTTGTTCCACCCGGGCCCAGCGGTGCGCCGACCCGCGGGATGGCAAATGTCCTCCCCACTGGGCGCAATTTTTACTCCGTTGACCCCAAGACGTTGCCCTCACCCGTGGCTTGGGAAGTGGGCAAGGACTTGGGCGATGCGTTGCTTGAGAAGTACCTCACGGAAGAGGGCAGCTATCCCGAGATGGTTGGCGTGGTGGTTTGGGGTACATCGGCCATGCGCACCCACGGTGACGATATTGCCCAGATAATGTATCTGTTGGGTGTCCGCCCGGTATGGCAGGCAGAGAGCCGCCGGGTCTCCGGTATCGAGCTTATTCCACTGGAGGAACTAGGTCGCCCCCGAATAGACGTAACGATCCGTATCAGCGGCTTTTTCCGCGATGCCTTCCCCAACTTGATCTTTCTTCTTGATCAATCGGTGGAGTTGGTGGCCTCCCTGGATGAGCCTACGGACCAGAACTACGTGGTAAAGCACCTTCAGGAAGACCTGGCGCAACGAAGTGAGAACCTTGGAGAGGGTCAAGACGCCGAGGGTACAACCGAGCGGTCTGCTTCGCTTTACCGCATCTTCGGCAGCAAACCGGGTACTTACGGCGCGGGAATACTGGGAGTTATTGACGAACGCAATTGGGAAACGGTTCAGGATCTGGCAGAGGTCTATACCGCATGGGGTGGGTATGCATATACCCAGCAGGACTTCGGCGTCAGCGCCCGTCCCCAGTTTCGGCAGCGTTTCAGCCAGATAGTGGTAGCCGCCAAGAACCAGGACAATCGAGAGCACGACCTCTTCGACAGTGACGATTACATGCAGTACCACGGCGGCATGATCGCCACCGTTCGGGCCCTGACCGGCCGTAATCCCCGCCAGTTCTTCGGCGACAGCTCCGACCCTTCGCGCTCCCGGGTTAGGGACTTGCAGGACGAGGCCAGGCGCGTGTTCCGCAGCCGGGTGGTCAACCCTAAGTGGATGGAGTCCATGAAGCGTCACGGCTACAAGGGGGCTTTCGAACTGGCTGCTACCGTCGATTACATGTTTGGGTACGATGCCACCGCGCAGGTAATTGAAGACTGGATGTACGAGGACGTTACCGAGGAATACATCCTCAACGAGGATATGCAACAGTTCTTCCGGCAGAGCAATCCCTGGGCTATGCGAGGCATCATCGAGAGGCTGCTGGAAGCCATCGAGCGAGGGATGTGGGAAAACCCGCCGCCGGAGATCTTGGACAAGTTGCGAGAGCTTTACCTGGAACTGGAAACCGACTTGGAAGCTAGACAAGAGGCTGGGCAATCCCCATAATGGCGATTTCAAGAGGATCTTGAAAAGGCCGGGGAGGCAGGATATGGAAATACTGGGCGAATTGATCCACGAGTTAACCTCTGACGATAAGATGATGTGGGTCATTGGCGGTGGCGAAGTCGCCAGTGAAAACACGTCCAAGGGAATCAAGGAACCCGATCTCAGCAATGGTTGGTACACAATAGAGGCCGATAACTGGCACTTTCATCTGGCTGAAGCCTCAGTCAACGGCATCCAGTTTGTGGAGGCCGATAGCCACGGGGGATTGAAGTCTTTTTACGTGCGTTTTTCCAAGGACTGGGAAGAAACGCTGGTACGTTGCTACTTCCCCAATCCCTACCTGGATGATGACCTCAACCGGGTTGAATATCAGGCCGATAAGTATGATGCTTTCCTCGAAATGAGAGACCGCTACGTGGGCCGGGAAGAAGGGGTGGTTTACGTTCAGCGTTAGTCGACTTTTCGTAAACCGGCGACACAGTGCCAGGTAATGAAGCTTGGGGCACTTGAACATAACCTTTGAGGGTAATAGACTATGAAACCAGATTAAGCGTTGGCTAACTGGCGACATAGCGAAACAGGGCAATTAACATTACAGGAGGCAGAAATGTTGACAATCTTGAGAAGCGTGTTTGGTGACAGCGCCGCCCCGGTTTGGGCTCCCTGGTTGCTGCTCGGCGCTGCGGTGCTTTACATGGTAGGCTACGTTGACTCCAGCATTCACGGTGCGGCTCTCGGTTCTCCCGCCGTCCTCGGCGCTGTCCACGAGTTTTTCCACCACGCTCGCCACGTCGCCTTGATGTGCCACTAGGCCAGACTACCTAATGTGCCCCCGCACAACGGGGGCACGTTCTCTTTCTTAAACGTCTGCCACGCTGACAGAAAGCACTTCGCTTTCCGGAGGGGGTTAAGTGTGGTTACGTCATTAGAATTTTGTTGAACGGCTTGTGAGGCAGAATCATGCGTAACATACTTTCCCTTGGCGATGGTAATGGGAGCCATTGCCGGCCTGATTGTTGGTGGTTTCCTGAACGTTTTCAATGTTCCGGTCATGGAATGGGCTATTTCCCTGGAGGAAGCCGCCCCAGCCCCATCCGGCGAATCGGGAACGACCGGGGTTTATGCCTCCCTTGGATCTCTGGGAGCGCAACGAATTGGATTGGTAGTCGGTTTGGCTGTATTGGGGGTCATTTATGGTGCCGTTTTTCACGGCTTTGTTCCGGTTGGTGAGGCAGGCAGTCCCGGGCTGGAACATATGGGCATGGGCCGTCATAGGTGGTGCATTGGGCTTCTGGTCCATTTCGCTCTTTACCCAGATCAAATTCCCTCTCAACCCGCCGGGTGTCGGTGATGAAGCGTCTCTCCTCGGTCGGCAGGGATTCCAGTTCCTGTTTATATTGTTGTCCCTTGGTGCTACAGCAGTTGCCGGTCTGGCTGTTCGGCATGTTCACCAGCTGGGTTGGGAAGGCTCTCAACGCTTCCTGGGATATGCGGGAATAGCCTTCGGGTATGCCATCGCGGCTCTCATCATCTTCGTTGCGATTCCTGGGGATTCTGATCCTATTCCCCACGGGCTTCCTCAAAGCCTCGTAATAATGTTTCGCACCTTTTCCATTATTGGCCACCTGCTCCTCTGGACGATTATGGCCCTGGGGGTTGCCGGGTATATCAGGTACCAGGAAAAAGGCATAAATGTTACCGGTGATGCGATGATGGAGCGAAACCTGTCGGGTTCGTCCCATCCCTAAACCAGGGACAGTTTCTCACGGAGGAGTTTCTTTGACCCAAATGAATCGGGAACCTTCCTTTCCCTTTACCGCTATCGTGGGCCAGACGGCTATGAAAAAAGCGTTGCTCTTGAACACTGTCAATCCCCGGATTGGCGGTTTGCTGATTCGCGGCAAGAAAGGCACCGCCAAGTCCACCGCCGTCCGCTCCCTGGCAGCCCTGCTTCCGGAGGTATCGGTGTTGCAAGGCTGCCCCTACAGTTGTCCGCCGGAGGCTCGACAGGGATTGTGCCAATGGTGCGAATCGGGTAACAACGACAACCCTCCAGTCAGCCACCAGGTTCGCATTGTCGATTTGCCGGTGGGCGCCAGTGAGGACCGGTTGGTGGGTTCACTGGACATTGAACAGGCTATCAAGTCCGGCACCAAGAGTTTCGAGCCCGGTCTTATTGCCGCGGCCCACAGAGGCATTCTCTATATCGACGAAGTAAACCTCTTGAACGACCACCTGGTGGATGTTCTGCTTGACGCCTCCGCAATGGGGCGCAACTACGTGGAGCGCGAGGGCATTTCCGTTAGCCATGCCGCTGAGTTTATTCTGGTGGGCACCATGAACCCGGAAGAAGGGGAAGGTGACTTGCGTCCCCAGTTGTTGGACCGGTTCGGCTTGGCGGTTGAAGTGGATGGCATAATGCCCTCCGAAGAACGGCGCGAGGTCGTGCGCCGGCGCATGGCCTACGAATCTGACCCATTTTCCTTTATGGACCAATGGCAGGAAGAAGAAGGCAGGGAACGAGAGCGTCTTCTCCAAAGCAGGCAATTGTTGGGCCAGGTAACCGTTAGCGAAGATATTCTGGGCTTAATCACCGACATATGCGCTGAGTATCAGGTGGATGGACTGCGTGGCGACATCGTAATGTACAAGACGGCCAGCACCATTGCCGCTTATGACGGCCGCACCGAGGTTGACGTGGAGGATGTGCGCGAGGCGGCCCTAATGGCCCTTCTCCACCGCCAACGCCGCCAACCGTTCCAGCAGCCTCACCTGGTGACCGAACAACTGGACAACATGCTGGAAGAGTACCAGAACCAATCCCGAAACCGTGAAGCAGAGGACAACAGTTCCTCCAACCGGGACCACAATGAGGATGAGTCTGACCCCTCCGATTTAGGGGACGACGAACAGGAAAGCGATCCAGATTCGGGTTCGGGCCCTCAGGACCAGTGGTTCGAGACCGGAGACCCCTACAATATTCAATCCATCCTTCTTCCTCCCCCCGACCGGCGAGAACGGCCTTCTTCTGGCCGCCGTGCCACCACCGTCAGCGGGAGCAGCGCCGGGCGCTACGTTCGTGCCCGGATTCCTCAGGGGACGGTTTCCGACCTGGCTCTTGACGCGACCCTCCGTGCGGCCGCGCCCTATCAGGAGCGCCGACGTGAAAGTACGGGTGTGGATGCAGAGTCGAGGCTCGTCATTGAACCTTGGGACGTGCGGGAAAAGGTCAGAGAGACCAAGACCGGAAGCCTTATCCTCTTTGTGGTAGATGCCAGCGGCTCCATGGGCGCCCAGCGACGCATGGTCGCAGTTAAGGGCGCAGTGCTGTCGCTGCTCCTGGATGCCTACCAGCGCAGGGACAGAGTGGCGCTGATCAGTTTCAGAGGCACAGGTGCAGACCTGCTGCTGCCATCGACCAACAGTGTGGATTTGGCCCAACTCTACCTTCAAGAGATGCCCACCGGCGGACGAACCCCATTGTCGAAAGGCTTATATCTGGCCCTGGAAACTCTGGAGACGGAACGATTAAAAGACCGGAACGTCCTTCCTCTGGTGGTGGTACTTTCGGATGGCCGTGCCAATGTGTCCATGGACGGCGGAAACACCCAGGCAGTAGAAGAAGCCAGGGGATTCGCCTCAATTTTTGATGACAAGGGCATGACCAGCGTCGTTATAGATACTGAATTGGACTTCATCAAGCTGCAGATGGCCAAGCCACTGGCTGAAGCAATGGCAGCCCGTTACTTGAAGCTGGAAGACCTGAGGGGCGATAGCCTTGCAGACGCGGTAAGAAACGAGCTTCCTTCGGCCACCGGAGGGGCGGACACAAGCCCAGATACCAGTGATGGAGCGGCAAACGAGATGCGCCGTCTTTATGACAGTCTGGGTTGATGCTGAAGTTGATACCCTGGCAGGGCATGCTGTATTGCGCCTTATTAAGGACTTGCAAGTAATCATTACTCCGTTCCAGTCTTCTTCATTCCTTCACTTATAATTCTTTACATCACATAACTAAGTTGGTAACCTTTTTCTTATCTTTGTAATAATCGTTCGGTCAGGTCGGCCGATAATCCTTTCTTTATTGAGGCAACCCTTTGGCAAGAGTCCTTCCCTACGCCGATATGGACAAGATTATGTCCCTCTCCAAGCGGCGTGGTTTCGTATTTCAAAGCAGTGAGATTTATGGCGGCCTGGCTTCCACATGGGATTACGGCCCCTTGGGTGTTGAACTCAAACGTCATGTCAAGGAAGCGTGGTGGCAGTCGGTGATCGTGGGCCGTGACGACATGGTGGGCCTTGACGCAGCTATCCTGATGGCTCCCCAAGTCTGGGTGGCCAGCGGCCACGTCGAGAACTTTTCGGACCCGCTGGTGGAATGCCGAAGCTGCCATTTACGGTTCCGGGCCGACCAGCTGGAAACTGAAAAGTGCCCAGAGTGTGGCGGTGAGTTTACTGAACCCCGCCGCTTCAACCTCATGTTTCGGACCTTCATGGGCCCAGTTGAGGACACGGGCCACGAAGTCTTTCTTCGGCCGGAGACCGCTCAGGGCATATTCGTCAATTTCCAGAACGTCCTTAACTCTTCCCGCAAGAAACTGCCGTTTGGCATTGGCCAGATCGGGAAAGCCTTTCGCAACGAAATAACCCCCGGCAATTTCACCTTTCGCACCCGCGAGTTTGAGCAGATGGAGGTGGAGTTCTTCGTAAAGCCGGGCACCGATGAGGAATGGTTGCAAAGCTGGGTAGAGGAACGGTTTAACTGGTACGTGAGTTACGGCATCCGTCGGGACAATCTTCGGCTCCGGCGCCACGACCCCGACGAATTGGCACATTACGCCAAGGATACCTATGACATCGAATACCGATTCCCCTGGGGCTGGGGTGAATTGGAGGGAATCGCCGACCGCACCGACTTTGACCTGCAACGCCACGCCGAGGCCAGCGGCGAGGACCTGACCTACTTTGACGAGGAAGACAGGGAGCGTTACCTGCCTTACGTCATCGAACCCTCTGGTGGCGTAGACCGGGCCACTCTGGCCTTTTGGCTTGATTCCTATGATGAAGAACCCGATGGAGAAACTGTTAGAGTCGTATCTCACCTCCATCGTAAGCTGGCCCCGGTTACTGTGGCTGTGCTTCCTTTGAGCCGAAATGCTCGACTGGCTCCCACCGCCAGGAATGTTCACAATTTGCTGCGTCGCCATTTCAGCACTCAATTCGACGATGCGCAGAGTGTGGGCCGCCGCTATCGTCGCCAGGACGAAATTGGGACGCCGTACTGCGTCACGGTAGACTTTGATACCCTGGATGACCATCAGGTAACTATTCGAGATCGGGACACAATGAATCAGGTGCGTGTCTCCATAGCAGAGTTGGTATATATCTTGCAGGACAAGGTGGAGCACGGTTGGTGACCTGATCCTCGGAAGTCGTGGTTGGCTCCATGGGTTAGTCATGCAATTAATTCGTCGCGACTGCACATGGACCAGCCCGTGAGTGAATGTGAGGAGGGGAGGTAGCAGAAGTGACAATTTTTGATTCAGCGCTTCGTTTGCCGGAGATCATAGGTCAACTTGCTCAGCGACCCAACTCCGGCGAAATGTACAAGGCCAGGGAAAAGGAAATGGCTGGAAACTTGGTAGCGGAAACCCTGCGCGGCGGGTTGTTTACCCGGATCGTGGGCAAGAGGCTTCTTTTCTTCCAGGAAGTAGGGTCCACCATGGATGAGGCACTGCGGCGCGCCGAAAGGGGCACCGAAGAAGGGACGGTCGTTGTGGCAGAGACCCAGACTGCCAGCAGGGGACGTCAGGGCAGGGCATGGGTATCCCGAACCGGTAACCTTTATCTGTCAGTAGTGCTTTATCCTTCCCTGCAAACCCTGCCATACCTCAACAGTCTGTGCGGAGTGGCGGTAGTCCGGGCCATAGCAAATATCAGTGGACTGAAGCCACGAATTAAGTGGCCCAACGATATCCTGCTCGAAGGCAAGAAGGTTGCTGGTGTTCTGGTCGAGAGCGCCATAGCTGGTGAACAGGTCCACCATTCCATAATCGGCATCGGTATCAATGTGGCCCTGGAAGCCGATGAGATTGATGAAATCGCAGGTGGCGCCATCAGTCTGAACCACGCCTCCGCCGGGGACATTCCTCGCGATGAATTGTTGCGCGAAATCCTTCAGCAGTTGGATGCACTCTATATTCAGTTGAATCATGGAGACACGCCGGTGGAGGAATGGGAAGAATTGCTGGATACCCTGGGGCAACGTGTCAAGGTAACCTGGCAGGGTGAAGAGTATGTGGGTTTCGCCGATGGCATAGATGCGCAGGGTAGCCTGCTGCTTCGGGAAGATAGCGGGACAATGCGGACCCTTGCTGCCGGAGACGCGACCTCGCTCCGTCCTGCCCCATAAGGATTTTGCAGACGAACTGATGCTTGAACGACTGAGTCTGGATGACCAAGTTGTCGTGGTTACCGGAGGCGGTACGGGCCTCGGACTGGAGATGGTCCGCCACCTCGCCCGAGCGGGCGCGAATCTTGCCATCGCCGGTCGTCGGACGGGCCCTATCGAGAGTGCGGCAGAGGAAGTAAGAAACATTGGGCAGTCCGCCATCGCGGTGCCTACCGACGTGAGCAGCTCGGCTCAGGCCGATGCTTTGATCGAGTCTACCGTCGAGCATTTCGGCCGGATTGATGTTTTGATCAACAACGCGGCACTGGTTTCCGATAGCATTCCTACCCCCATTTGGGATATCATCGACGAGGACTGGCAGGCAGCCCTGGACGTAAATCTGAGCGGCGCATTCTTCTGTTCTCGCGCCGCCTCCAAACCCATGGCCGACCAGGGCAAAGGCAAAATTATTAACGTCGCCTCCGGCTTTGGCATGCGGGGTGGCCGAGACATCTATACCTATTGTTGCACCAAGGGCGGGGTAATCCAGTTAACCAGGGTCTTGTCCTTCAGTCTGGCCCGCTACGGGGTTACTGCCAACAGTATCGTGCCGGGATTCATACCAACTGTTGGCACCGACACCGAAATGAGGGAATCGCTCCCCCGGTCCGGCGCATACTTGCCCACTGGCAAGCTGGGCCAGCCAGAGGACATTGGCCCAGTTGCGGTCTTCCTGGCATCCCCTGCTTCCGACTACATGACGGGAGAGACCTTTACCCTGGACGGCGGCGGCCTTGCCGGCGGCTTGGCTCCGACCGGATATGCTCCCACGGTTCCGCTAGAGCCATAAGAGATTTCCTCTCGTATAACGGACATTCGTATCGTTTCCTTTCGGAGAGTTTGAATGCCTCTGCTGCGTCAGTATGACTTGACCGGAAAGGTTGCGGTCTTGTCCTCAACCGGCGGAGACGAAGCTCCTTTCCTGGGGCAGGCCCTTGCTGAAGCCGGGGCCACCGTTTTTGCCGTTGCCCGCCGCCAGAATTCGCTGGAAGCCATACTCAATGCCTTGTCTGATAGCAATGAAAGAAGTTCTGCAACACACAGTGGCCAGGTTTCTTTACTGGACTCAGCAGAATCCGTTACCCAGGTATTAGCCGCCGTCGACCGACTGCATGGCCGCGTAGATATCCTGGTGAACGACAATCGAAGTATGTTCGCCAAGCCGGTGTTGGAGATAGATTCTGACGAATGGGACGAGCTTCAGTCTCGAAATATCCGGGCGGCATTCTTGCTCAGTCGGGGTGTCGGCGCCAGAATGATTGACCAGGGATACGGCCGTGTCGTTAACATAATATCGGGACTGGCCGAAAGGGGAATGATCAATGGTTCGGCTTTCAGCGTTAGCCAGGCTGGTCTATTGGCCCTGACCCGTTCCCTCGCCGTGGAATGGGGCCCACACAACATCAGGGTGAACGCAATCGGTACCGGGTGGACGGTTGCAGAAGATATTCCGGTTGAAGTTCAGCAACAGGAACAACTGGTACGCTATATACCGGTGCGGCATAAGGGGCACCCCAGGGACATTGGCCCCCTTCTGGTTTATTTGTGCTCCGAGGCCTGCGACTACACCACCGGGCAACCCGTGTACGTTGATGGCGGCCTTAACGCCCACCCCTAGGAATTTTCTTTACCTGTCTGGCGCTAATTTCTGGGGCTGTCCTTAGTCATTTCGCAGATTCCCCGTTGAATGCCAAATGGGGCGTGGGTTACAATACCCCACGATGTCGATGCAACCTGTCACCCGTCTCTGGGGAATGTATGATCTATCCCGGGAATCCTGGCTGCGCAAGCGGACCTTGCAGGATTCCCTGACTTCGCTCATCGATGGCTATGGCTACCAATACCTGGAAACTCCTCTCCTCGAAGGAACTGAGCTATTCCTCAGGCAATCAGGCGGCGACCTGGCGTCAAGGATGTACAGTTTCGTTGACGCTGGAAGCAACCAGGTCAGCCTGCGGCCCGAGTTCACTTCTCCTATCATGCGCCATTACCTGGAAAACTCCGGGAATATAGTCCTCCCCGCCCGTTTCCAGTATGCCGGGCCGGTTTTCCGATATGACGTCGCCCACCCCGAGGGTAGCGGTCAGTTTACCCAGGTTGGTGCGGAGCTGATAGGCGCCGAAAGCGTCGTGGCGGACGCGGAACTGCTCACATTGGCTGCTGAGTTACCCCGCCGGGCGGGGCTGCAAGACTTCTCGATTGAATTGGCTGACCTGGACGTTTTTCACAGCGTATTGAACGTGGCGAGAGTTTCCGACCGGGCCCGCAGCTTTATCCTGGCTTCTATCCCCCAATTGAGAGAGGGGCAGGACGCCCTTTCCCAAGTCCAGGAGAGGGCATACCAGTTGCACTTGGGAGATCGGTTGCCGGAACACCAGGACCTGGGGGCTGCCATCACCGGCCTGGACGACCAGCAAGCTCGGCAGGTCATTCAAGGGTTCTTGCAGTGGAACGGTACAGATTCGCGCCGGTTTGGCCAGCGTGATCCTGAGCAGGTGGTAAACCGATTCCTCCGCAAGCTGCGGGGCAGCGACGAGGCAGGACACTTGGAGACGGGGCTTAGGCTGGCCGCCGACCTTGCCGGAATCCGTGGCAAGCCGGTAGACGCAATTGACGCTGCAAGGAAAGTGGTGGAATCTGCGGGTGCCGATACGTTGGCCCTTGACAGGCTCAGTGAACTGGCAGAAACCCTCGAGGCTTGTCCCGAAACTCGGGGAAATGTGACCGTTGATTTTGGGCTGGCCAGAGGGCTGGCCTATTATAATGGGATTGTTTTCCAAGTTACTCACCCTGAATGGAAGGGCCCCCTTGGCGGCGGCGGGCGCTACGATGGACTGGCCCTTGCTTTGGGTAGTGTAACCAATATCCCAGCCCTGGGCTTTGCCTATACCCTGGAAACTCTGTTAGCATTAGCCGAACGGCAGAGTAGCCAGAACGGCCCGGCTCCAAACAGTGCGACTGTATTGATTGTGTCCGAGTCAGATAGCGAGATCCACGGCGCCCTGCAAGCGGCCCGAGAGCTCAGGGGAACCGGGGTGACGGCAGAGTTGGATGTCATCCGCCATGACTTGCAGGAAGCCATGACCTACGCCGCATCAAAAGGCATTAAGCAGGTGGTCTTCGTAGATTCCAAGGGAGAACAGGCCGTACACGATGTTGAGTAACGGTACACTTTCCAACAGTGGTCTGTCCGCGAATGGGAGGGATGCTGCTCTTCGGCTGGTCATTCCCAGCGATGGGGAACTTTACGAGCCTACACTGAACTATCTGGGCTCTTGCGGCCTATCGGTCCGGCGCCCTAACTCGCGGCAATACACTGCCACCATAAGGTCTCTTCCCGGCGTGGAAGTACTCTTCCAGCGTAGCGCAGATGTAACCACCAAGGTAGAGGAAGGCAGCGCAGAACTGGGAATCACCGGACTGGACCGTTACCTGGAGTACCGCACTGACGAACGCACTGTAGTCAGCTTGTTGGACGATCTGGGTTACGGCAGGTGTGATTTTGTCCTTGCCGTTCCAGACGCCTGGCTTGATGTTTCCTCGATCGATGACTTGGCGGATCTGGCTCTGGAGTTCAAACAGCAGGGCAAGCAATTGCGGATAGCCACCAAGTATCCCAAGTTGTTGCGGGAGTATTTGTTCCACCGTGGAATAAATTACTTTACCCTCGTGGCGGTAAGCGGCGCTCTTGAGGCAGCCCCCGTAGCAGGCTACGCAGATTTGATAGCTGACCTGACAGCTACTGGCACAACTCTCCGCGAAAACCGTCTGAAGACTTTGCAGGGTGGCACTATTCTTACTTCCCAGTCATGCCTCATCGGGAATGCAACCACTCTGTTGAGATCGAAAGATGCCCTTAGATTGGCCCGGGAGTTCATCGAAATGCTGGAGGCCCACATGCGGGCCGAGCCTTATTACCGTCTTACCGCCAACGTGAGGGGCGCCTCTCCCCAGGAAGTCAGCGCGACAGTCCTTAGCCGCCCCGAAGTCTCAGGTCTTCGTGGCCCGACCATTGCCCGAGTCTACAACGTAGAGGAACAAGACTGGTACGCTGTCAGCCTCCTGGTACGCAAAGACCGTTTGATGGAGGCAGTGGATCATTTGAGGGATTGCGGAGGCATTGAAGTTTCGGCCTCCCAGTTGAGTTACCTCTTCAAAGGCGAATCGTCCGTGTTCAGCCGGTTGCTCGACCCTGCCTCTGAATCTGTTGAAGAAATCGGGGGCTTGTAATGCCTAACCTCCCGATGCACATCTTCATTGCACAGCAAGTGGCCCAGGAATTGGATTGGGGCTTTGTCCACGACAATTTGGGCAGTTGTTTTCTCGGCTCCACCACTCCGGATATACGAGCAATGACAAAATGGGACCGGGAATTGACCCATTTTGCTCCCCTTACCCTGGAGTCCGTGGGCACGGGCACCCAAAGAATGTTCGAATTGTATCCGGAACTGGCTGACCGGCAAAATCTCAATCCGGCGACCTTGGCCTTTGTCCTAGGGTACGTCAGCCACCTGACTGCCGACGAGGTTTGGATAACCACTATGTTCAGGCCTCATTTCTCCCGGGATAACACAGTCGCGGGCAGTGAAATGGAAGCGCAGATCTGGGATAGAGCACTCCAATTAGACATGGACCGGCGGGCCCACTTGGAAATGGACGGATTGTCCGTCGCCGGCGACGCCATTTGCGAAGGAGAGCAAGTTGTCGAGATAGAATTCATCAGAGCGGAAGTGCTGGCTGAATGGCGGCAATGGGTAGCGCGTTTCATGGGCTGGGAATTCGATTGGCAACGGCTCAAACGAGCCATGAGCCGTATGTATCGCGACAACGACGATGTCCAGGACATGGTGGACTTGTTCCTTTCCGATATGCCCCAAAGCCTGGAAACGGTTTACGAAAAAGTTCCCAGGGAAAGAGTGGAAAACTACCGGCAGACTGCTGTGAAACAGACCTTGCTGCAAATAAAGGAGTATCTTGGTGAAGCTTAAGGTGGTGCGAGGACTGGCTGAGGCCGAAGGGGTGCTCGCTCGTTTTGACCCGCTGGATTTGGATTCCCTGCCCGAGTCGGTGCGGGAAAGGACGAGGCAGGCCTTTGGCGATGACGTAACGCCTGAACAGTCAATAATAACGATGCTGCGCGAGGTTCGGAGTGAAGGCGACGCCGCTATTCGTCGCTACACCAAGCTGCTGGATGGCGTCGATTTGCCAGAGTTCAAGATTAGCGAGGCCGAGCTGGCCGAAGCCCGCAGCAGCATATCTACAGAGCTGGAATCAGCCCTGTTGTTGGCTGCCAAAAGGATCACCGACTTTCATCAGGCGACGTTGCCCAGGAACTGGGTGGACCTGGAGCAGGGCTTGGGGGAAATGGTTCGCCCCTTGGAACGGGTGGGCCTTTATGCTCCTGGCGGAACTGCCGCCTATCCATCAACCGTCCTGATGACAGCCATTCCCGCGCGCGTCGCCGGAGTCAAGGAAGTAATCCTGACCACGCCCAGGCGAGGCGCGGAACCGTTGAATCCCGCGGTAATGGCGGCCGCTCACATCGCAGGAGTGGATGCCGTCTACCAGATTGGTGGAGTTCCCGCCATCGCAGCCATGGCCTACGGTACCGAGTCCATAGCAAAGGTGGACAAAATTTGCGGTCCAGGCAATATCTTCGTTGCTTACGCCAAGAAACTGGTCCAGGGCCAGGTGGACATTGACGGTATCTTTGGCCCAACCGAGACCATTGTCATTGCTGATGACACGGCGCAGGCCAGCTTTTGTGCCGCCGACATGATCGCCCAGGCCGAACACGATCCCCTTTCCACAGCTATCCTGGTAACCGATTCCAGCGATTTGATTGATCAGGTGGAGCTGGAGTTGGAGCTTCGGCTGTCAACTCTTGAGCGAGGCGATATGGCCCGGGATGCTCTGGAGCGGCAGGGTCGCATTGTCCTTGTGGAAGACCTGGATGAAGCGGTTGAACTGGCCAATCGCATCGCTCCTGAGCACCTGTGCATGATGGTTGCCGACCCCTGGACCTGGGCGGGGAAGGTGAAGAATGCCGGTGGGCTGTTCCTGGGAGAGTATTCTCCGGAAGTCATGGGCGATTACATAGCGGGCCCCAGCCATGTGATGCCTACGGGCGGCACGGCACGTTTCAACTCGGCCCTCAGTGTGCATCATTTCATGCGCACCATGCCAGTTGTCGGCCTGACTCCCCAGACTTTTAGGAATTTGGGCGAAGCGGCAGTGCAGATAGCCCACGTGGAAGGCCTCACCGGCCATTCCGGTGCCATTGAAGTGCGGCTGGAGAGTCTGAAAGCCCGTGCCTAGTCTAGGCCGACTCATTGAACTCACTCGGCCCGCCGCCGTTGCAGTCGGCCGGCGGGCAACTATTATTTTCTGGACTTGGATATGACTGAAGTCAGAGACCTGCTACTGCCCCACATTCGTCAGTTGAAGACCTACGACGGCGTTGACCCCATGGAGGTATTGGCGCAGAGGGCGGGAATACCGCCAGAAGAAGTCATACGCTTGAACGGCAACGAGAATCCCTTCGGACCTTCTCCCGAGGTAGTTAAGGCTCTCGGCAGCTTTCAGCATTACAACCACTACCCGGATCCCGACCAGCGCCAATTGCGGGAGGCTTTGTCCGGCTACTTGGGCGCCTCGCCGGACCAGATTGTTGCCGGCAATGGCAGTGACGAGCTTATAGACATGATTCTTCGAATGTTCCTCGGGACAGGCGAGAACATTGTCATTCCCACGCCTACTTTCGGCATGTACGCCTTCTCCGCCGAGGTCTGCGGTGGAAAGGTAAAGTCGGTTCCCCGAAACGAGATTTTCGACATAGATGTAGAAGCCACAGTTTCGGCCGTGGACGAGAAGACCAAAGCTATTTTCCTGGCCTCTCCCAACAATCCCACTGGAAACACTGCTTCAGAGGGGCAGATTCGTGCCCTCCTGGCTACCGGCGCAATCGTTGTTGTGGACGAAACCTACTACGAGTTTTGCGGCCAGACCATGCTGTCCCTGGTTGATGAATTTCACAATCTCATAGTTCTGCGAACCTTTAGCAAGTGGGCCGGCTTGGCCGGCCTGCGCATTGGGCTCGGGGTAATGAACCCTGATATTGCCCTGACAATGATGAGCATGAAGTCGCCCTACAACGTCAATTTAGCTGCTGAGGTTGCCCTGTTGGCTTCCCTTGGCGACCGGCATACGCTGCTAGGCCGGGTACAGGCGATAGTTGCAGAAAGAAAGCGGATGATCGGCCTTCTGGAGCAGATACCCGGTATCCAGGTTTGGCCGTCCCAAGCTAACTTTGTCCTCTGTCGGCTGCCTGAAGGACGAGGACAGGAGATTTTCGAAGGCCTATGCCGCCGGGGAATCTTCCTCCGTTACTTCAACACCCCACAGTTGCGAGACTACATTCGGGCCAGTGTCGGTTTGCCGGAAGAGACCGACCAGGTTATCAGGGCCCTGTCCGAACTGGTGGAGGCTTAACAATGGAAAAGTTGGGCGCATCCGGTGGACCCGCTGACCTGGTCCAGCCTGCCAGTTCACGCACCGCCACCCTTAACCGGGAAACCGCGGAGACGAAGATCTCGCTGACCGTAAATTTGGACGGCCAGGGAAATTATGAAGTTGATACGGGGAACGGGTTCCTGGACCACATGGTGAGCCAAATTGCCCGGCACGGATTGTTTGACATAAGCTTGCAGGCACGCGGCGATGTCCACGTGGGGTGGCACCATTTGGTGGAAGACGTGGGCATTCTGCTGGGCCGTGCCTTCCATGAGGCGTTGGGAGAAGTGCGTGGCATCCGGCGCATGGGTCACGCCATAGTTCCCCTGGACGAGACCCTGGTAATGGTGGCCCTGGACCTGAGCGGCAGAAGTTATGCGGTCGTGGAAACGACGCTTGACGACACCATGGTGGAAACTCTCTCTGGAGACTTGGTGCGGCATTTCTTTGAGTCTTTTGCCCTGGAAGGCAGAATTAACCTTCATGCCAAGGTTTTGACTGGTGTGAGCCCTCATCACAAGGCCGAAGCCCTCTGCAAAGCGCTGGCCCGCGCCCTGCGGGATGCGGTGGAATACGACCCCAGGGCTACCGGGCAGGTTCCCAGTACCAAGGGAACGCTGGAAACGGGTTAATTGCGCTCCTCGCAGCAGGATTCGGCCCTATATTTAAAGATAAACGGGACGCTGTTCAGCGTCCCGCTCTCGTTTTGTCCCCGGTGATTATCTGCCGAATCGCTGTTTAAGCTATATTCCTTTCCTCGCTATGAACTCCGGGAATGCCTGCTCGGCGTTGTAGCCCCGCACCCGGTTGGTGGTGAAGTCCCGCTCGTTGGCCCACTGCTGTTCCAGGTTGCAACCCATGTGCTGGAGCAACAGTTCCTTTATGCCCATCACTGATTCGCGCCGGTTGTTGGCGATAGCCGTCCCTATTTCCATGGTCTTGGCCCTCATCTGGTCTGCCGGCACGAGGTGGTTCAGAAGGCCTATGCGATAGGCTTCCTCCGCTTCCACGACCCTCCCCGTAAACAGCAACTCTTTGGCTATGGGCCAGCCCACCTGGTTGGGCAGCGTCCAGGTAGAATTTATTCGGCCGTAGGCGGCAGCGAGAAAGCGGAAGCTGGACCTCCCGCAGCCAATTCGTATGTCCAGGGAAGAGGAAAGGACCGCTGCCCCGCCGTAAGCCAGGCCGTTAATCATGCCAATGACCGGCTTAAGGGATGAGCTGATATCGTAGGTGCCCCTGGAACGGTTTTGGTCCTGCTGCTCGCGCGTACCCTGGTCGCCCTCCCGGTCTCGTTCTCTCTGTTCGTGAATATCTCCACCGGCGGAAAAGGCCCGTTCGCCTGACCCAGTGAGTACAATGCAACCGACATCATCGTCGGCGTTCATAGCTTTAACCGCGTCCTGCAACTCACGGTTCAATTGCCGATTCATTGCGTTCAGCTTCTCTGGCCGGTTCAAGGTCAAAAAAGCAACACCATCTTCCTTCTCAACCAAGATAAATTCATAGTCCATAGCTGCCTCCAGTTTGCTGGCGCTACCGCTGATCCAAATGGTCAGCCTGGGTGCCATAATCTCTAATCTGTGGCCTATTGTATGGCTGCCCATAAAGGTAGTCAAACGAAGTGGCTAAGTGACTTTTCCATTTTGGTGGGCACAGCCCAATTTCGGAACTCTCAGAGGTTTGCAGGGTGGCAAAGGCGAAATCCGTGCCAGCAGGGCTGTCGCTGTGGCGTTCTCATTGGGGAATATTCTTGCATACTCCTGTAACAAGCCCTTCTCCAGTTCCTTCGTGTTTCAGCGTACGTCGATGCCGATGACATCTGTCACTGGACAGCCATTGTTACTCCCTCCTACCATAGTCTCTGTATTACTGCCTCTCTCACCCTATTCCGAATACCCACGGTCGGGGCGGAAATGGCGAGAAAGAGGATTTTTCTAATCCCTCGCATATGCTCCCGCTACCAGTTGGGAGAGGGTCGATGAGCAAGAATGGCGGGTAAAGCAGATTGAATTCCCACACACGTGTCCTGCCTGCTTACTGGAAGAGGGTCGATGGGTGGAAGTGAGCGGAAAAGGCAGAAAAGTTTTGTATGTTCCACAGTTGCGTCGGCCAATCCCGCCAGGCAAAGCCCGGTCTATGGAATGCGATTGCTCTGTGGTGGCAAGGGGATTCAATTGACATATCCCCAGCTCGAAAGGATGATTGAAACGCTATGTTTGTTCGTAAACAAGAAATGCAGGCCTACAAGAGAAACTGGCTGCACCAGCGTTGGCGGGAGAAGATTCGGATAGTCTTGCTGTCGCTGTTTGTGGCGGTCTACCTGGGCAGTTTAGTGGGCCAGGCACGTGCCCAAACTGCGACGGAGGAGGCTCTCTTACTGGATATCAGTGGCACTATTAACCCAATCAAAGTCCGGTACCTGGAACGGGCACTTGACCAGGCTCTGGAGACTGGAACTCCCCTGCTGATAATTCGGTTGGACACTCCCGGCGGTCTACTTGGCTCTACAAGGGAAATGGTGGAGATTCAGTTGGAGTCCGATATACCCATTGTGGTTTACGTGGCGCCGAGAGGGGCACAGGCAGGCTCTGCGGGGACTTTCCTGACTGCAGCCGCCAACATTGCGGCGATGGCTCCCAGTACCAACATTGGCGCGGCGACTCCTGTGTCCGCCTCTGGTGCTGAATTGGACGAGACAATGGCCAGCAAATTGACTAACGACGCTGCGGCGCTGATTCGCAGCATCGCTGAAGAGCGGGGACGAAACGCAGTTAAACTTGAAGACACGGTTCGTACCGGGGCTTCCTTCACGGCGACTGAGGCCTTGGAACTGGGAGTCGTGGACTTGATAGCAACCGACGAGGCAGACCTGTTGCGCCAGCTTGACGGCCGCGTAGTCAAGACAAGAAACCAAGAATGGACGTTGGAGACGGACGGTTTGGTCCTGAAGTCTCTTGAAAAGAACGCGTTGGAGCATTTTCTTGAATTTCTAGCCAACCCAGATGTGGCCTTCCTGCTGCTGACCATTGGGGGGTTAGCCGTAGTCATAGAACTCTTCAATCCGGGAATGATAGGTCCTGGAGTCGTGGGAGCGGTATTGCTCATCCTGGCTTTTCTGGCTCTTGGAAGCCTTCCGGTAAACTGGGCTGGCGTGGCCCTGATTGTCCTTGCAATGGTGCTGGGCTTCCTCGAGACCCAGGTTACCGGCTTCGGGGTGCTGGGGGTAGGCGCCGCCATCTGCCTGATTTTGGGTGGATTCTTGCTGTTTGCCCAATTTGGCGATCCGTCTCCCACTCTCTCTCCCATCACAGTCAACCCTTGGCTGATTGTGGCCACGGCCGGAACCCTTGGAGCAGGCCTTTTGTACTTGGTTTGGACCATTCACAAATCTCAAAGAGAGGAGCTAGGCGAAGACACAATTCACCTGGTGGGCAGGACAGGAACCGTGATAACCGAACTGGCGCCGCGGGGTATTGTAAGGATGGAAGAGGGGAATTGGACGGCGGTCGCCGATGATGATAGGGTTATCTCAGAGGGGGAGAAGGTCATTGTCGTGGAAATGGACGACTTGGTGCTTACAGTAATTCGCTTTGATGAGGTCGAGTGAGCGAAAGTGCTTACTATCTGAAAGGCCACTTATAGTCGGCGAATAGAGAGGTGTTAAATGTCATCTGGAATCGTAATTGTCCAGCAACAGGAACGAATGGTGGTACAAAGGTTTGGGCGCTTCGACAAAGTGGTCAGCCCGGGTTTCCGTTTCCTTGTGCCATTTGTCTTTAGCGGCACCAAGGTGGGAGTTTGGGAACAAACCCAACGTGTTCCTACCCAAAAATACATAACAACCGATAACGTATTGGTTGACCTGGACTTCGTAATCTACTATCAGGTGCTGCCAGACGATGAGAACCCGCGCAAGGCAGTCCTTGATGTCCAGAACTACGAAGCGGCCGTGCTTAATCTGGCGGTGGCTGAACTTCGTTCAATTATAGGTAACATAACATTGGCAGACGCCCTGGCCGAAAGGGAGAAGATTCAAGGGCAGCTACAATTGGCACTGGACGAAAGTACCGGCCGCTGGGGTGTCAAGGTTAGAAACGTAGCCATCAATGAGATTGATCCGCCTCCCGGAGTGAAGCAGGCCATGGAGCGGGAAAAGTCGGCCGCCGCCATCAAGACGGCTGAAATCACTGAATCCGAAGGTCAAAGGCAGGCGCAGATAAACCGTGCGGAAGGCGAGAAGCAGTCGGCCATTTTGCAGGCGGAGGGCAACCGTCAAGCCGCCATCCTGGAAGCTGAGGGGGACCAACAGGCCACGGTGTTGCGGGCCCAGGGGTTCAGCACGGCTTTGGACCGCATTTACAGCGTTGCAAACACGGTGGATGCCAAGACGATGAGCTTACAGTACTTTGACACACTGAAGTCCTTGGGTTCCAGCCCTTCAACCAAGTTCATATTCCCTATGGAGTTTACTTCAATGCTGTCACCTTTCCTTGGCATGGGCTCAAACCAGCAACCCAGCAATGGGGGCAACAGCGAAGCTAACCAGAGTTAGCCGAACACGGGCGAACTTAATAATGGATAACCCCCTGGCGATTCCAGAAACGCCAGGGGGTTTCTTTCGTTTGTTGTTTAGTGGAAGAAACGAAGAGAAGGACGGGGCGCTAAATTCTTACAAGCTTTGGTAGAGCGATGAAGCCCTCACTGTCGCTCCCGACCAGGTCAGTTTCTTCGCGTGCGTGGAGCATTGCCGTGTGAGCGTTCATCAACGCGTCGCAGGAACTACGGTCCAGAACATCCATGTAAGGGTCAAGGCCGTCAATCAAATTGGGGAGCCTTTCCTTCATGAACAGCAGGCTCTCCGGCCGGTTCTTGGAAGGCACTTTGTCACCGAAAAGCACTACCTTGGTGGCGTGAGGATATACTTCAATCAACCGGTGTCCCAATTCCGACAATTCCTGGTTCAAAGCTACGGCCCGGTACACCAGCTTGCGAATGATGGATCCTTTGTTAGTAAAGAAACAGCTTATTCCCATGCGTGCCAGTTCCAGTTCGGCCTGCCTGCCTTTTCTGTCTGGAGACTCCATCCGGCAATCGCAGGTTGGTTCCAGGCAACAGAGGCCGGTTGGCAAACTGAGAGGACTGCCAATTGCAATAAACTGTGGATTGAAACGTTGGGCTACTTCGAAGAGGCCCTGGTCGTCGGAGAAAGAACCGATGAATGTTAAGTAGGAATCTGAGTCTACGACCGTTAGCGAACTTTGCTGTTTGGTCGAGGTTTTGAGGTCCACACCCATATAAAGCATACACAACCCTTTCGTGAAACCTTTAGATTCGGCGAGGAAGGCACCGGAAACCGGACACCAATAGATCTAGGGTAGGGATTCGCCCTCGCCGCTTAGGAAAGTGAAGCCAGCAATATGTTTTTCCTCGAGCAGTTCGGCTGCTGTTGAAAAGGGCTCACGTTTCCCGATTGCAATATCTTCAAGCATCAAACGGAGGGTTGGGTCGTTCTCTATACGGGCTTTCAGCCTGTGATTCAATTCCTCTTGGATGGATTCAAGAAACTCAGCGCGTCGGCGGTCACTTCGGCGCTTTTCCAAGAGGGACGGTTGCCCCAGGTCATCTGCGGGGGCTGACGCGAAAGAACGATGCTCCTTTACTTTTTCCCAGAGTTCTTCAATTCCAAGGCCTCTATCGGCCTGGGTCAGTAAGACAGGCGGCTCCCATTCCTGGGGCTCCGACGCGATCTGGAGCATTGCTCTCATTGCTGCCGCCATTCGGTCCGCACCCTCGCGGTCCGATTTGTTTACGATGTAAATGTCAGCGATTTCCAGGATTCCTGCCTTAAGGGTCTGTATAGCGTCCCCGGATTCGGGCATTAGCGCCACTACCACGGTGTCGGCCACGGTCATTATTCCCAACTCGGTTTGCCCGACGCCTACAGTTTCGACCAGTATGATGTCTTTTCCCGCAGCATCCAGCACCCTTACCATACCTTTTGACGATGCGGGGCAGACCTCCCCCCTGACCTCGGGTGGAGACGCTTCGGATAAACACTCCAGAGTCCAGGTAGTGGCGTTGCATCCTGATGCGGTCGCCCAATATCGATCCGCCACTGAAGGGACTATCCGGGTCTACTGCAATTATGCCGACGGTAAGCCCCAGATCGCGGAGGTGGCCGGTAAAGCGGTCAACCAGTGTGCTCTTCCCGACTCCCGGGGGGCCGGTAATGCCGATGGTGTAGGCATTGCCGGTTTTGCAGTCCAGTTCTTTAATTACAGGGGCCACTGCTGAATCTCGCCGTTCCAGCGCAGTCATCATACGGGAGATGGCCCGCTGGTCCCCGCCCAGCACCCTCGCTACATCATCGTTCATCCGGCAGAGACTCCGGCGGTGGCCCTTGATATATTTACCATAACACTGGTAAAAAAACTGAGTCAAGGTAGCCGTTAGGTTAGGGGCTAATAACAGTATTTCGTAATAATACGAAGTATTATTAGAAATATACGCCAGAACAATACCATTTGTAGCGAGGTATTTTGGTAATTCGTAAGAAGTGGACCAAATATCGGAACTTGAACAATTGTCAAAACTGGTCAAAAATTAAAATATTACCAAGAATTGCATTGGCACTTAAGGGTAACCCACTGCCATCTCTTGCAACAAATCACAGTCGACTTTGTAAATGAGAACTCCCCCGAAGTGTTCTTGGTCAGCTTGGGAATTGCTCTTCAACCGCTGATCAAAAAATTTGGGGGAGCAAAAAAGGGTAACCTGAACTGTGGGTTAGTGGTGGAATCCGGTCTCGAAGCCCCGGGCGCTGCCTGAGATCAAGAGGTCCGGACGGTTACCCCAACGGCGTAGGAATCGCCCGAAATTCTTGCGGCTCATTTCGTCTCGTTGGGCGTCATCCAGTTCGGTCCACTGGCGATGCTCATGCCTCACCATAGGCAGGCTGCTATCCGCCACGACCCGGTAGCCTTTTTCCTTAAACTGGAAGCAGTAATCTATGTCCAGGTTCCGGTAAAAGCGGAAGCCTTCGTGCATCAACCCTACGTTCCTCACGGCCTCACGGCGAAATGCCATGCAATAGGCCTGCATTGCGTCGGCCTCGCCCTTCTCCACTTCTTCGTGGAAGTGCTGCATATCATCGGTAGTAAGGCCGTAGGGCCCAAAGATTCCCACGGTTTCATCAGCCAATTGCTCGGCTATCGTACCAAGAACGTCGCCCGTTATTTCCGTGGACGCATCAAGGATGATCACGTGCTTGCCCCGGCTTAGCTTTACCCCGATGTTCTTGCCAGCGGCATCGCCAATAACGTGGTCGCAGTGAACGACCTGGATGTGGGGGTCTTGATCTTTGTACCCTTCTAACCATTCGGCGGTTTCGTCGGTGGAACCGTTGTCTATCGCGATGATCTCGACGCTGAAACCATGCGAATGGTTCCGCATCGCCCTAATACATCTGCTCACGTCATCAGCGTAATTGTAGGCATTTAGGACAAATGTGAAATCGTACAGGTCCGGAGAATCCAGAGCTGATTCAACTTCCCGGGAAGAAGAAACCCAGTCCCAGCGCTCTTCCTGCTGTTCCAGGGGAGTCTTGGGGCGAATCCTCGTTGCCTGGGGGGTGTCCTGTACCACGTAGCCACTGGTAGCAAGCTCCTCCCGAAGAGTATCGGCAGTGGCAAAGTTGACCTGCTCCCTCAATGTGCTACGCTGCGCCGCGGCCGTCACGATTGACTCAGGAAGCTGATAGGAACTGGGCACCGTATCCAGGTCCAGCCCGAACATCCGGTCAAAGTCAAGCAGCAACGACAATTTGGCTTGGCCCGGCAAGTCCGACCTTACCATGTCCCAGGTCAATGCCAGACCGGTGGGCAGATCAAGGTCGTTGTTCACGGCATTCCAAAACTTTTCCCGCCATTCTTCGGTTTCGGGTGGCAGTTCGGACAAATCGGGCAAATTCCCCCACTCCCAAATGCGGTTCCTTAGGTTTGAAAGAGCCTTTTTCGCTGGCCTTGAGGGAATTGAAGGTGAAGTTCATCCTGTGCCGGTAACGCACGGTCATGCAGAGGTAGCGGAATGACAGGGGGTCAATACCCCGGGACACCAGATCGTCCAGCATGAACACGTTACCCGACGACTTGGCCATCTTGGCCCCGTCAGCCAACAGGTGTTGGCCGTGAACCCAGTAGTTGACATGAACGTCGCCGAAAGCGCCCTCGCTCTGGGCAATTTCGTCCTCGTGATGAGGGAAGACGTTGTCCACGCCGCCGGTGTGAATATCGAAACGCTCCCCCAGGTATTTGTGCGCCATGGCGGAACACTCTATGTGCCAGCCTGGGAAGCCTTCGCCCCAGGGACTGTCCCACTTCACGTCCCGACCCGGTTCAGCTGCCTTCCAAAGAGTAAAGTCTCTCGGGTCGCGCTTTAGAGGGTCGGCTTCAGCCCGTACGCCTTCCAGCAAATTGCCCCCGACGTTGCGGGACAGCCCGCCGTACTTGGAAAACTGGGGTACATCGAAATAGACATTTCCGCCGGTCTCGTAGGCGTAGCCGTTGGCCATCAACTGTTCTACCATCGACACCATTTCCGGTATGTGGTTGGTGGCCCAAAGGGAAAACGTGGGCTGGCAGTATATTTACTCGCTCTTCGTCCTGGTAGAAACTGTCAGCATAGAACTGGGCAATTTCCTGAATCGTCTTTCCTTCGGCGAGCGCCGCCATGATCATCTTGTCCCCGCCGGCTTCAACCAATTCCTGGCGCATATGGCCGACGTCGGTAATGTTCTTGACGTGATAGACATCCAGGCCCTGTACCATAAGGGCTCGCCTGATCCAGTCCGCCATCATGTAGGTGCGCAAATTGCCTATGTGGGCATATCGGTATACTGTTGGCCCACAGGTGTACATGCTTATCTTGCCAGGTTCGATGGGGTGGATTTCGTCGACCTGTTTGGTGAGGGTGTTGTAAAGGCGTAGCAAAGCTCTTCTTCCTCCTTCACAAGCCCTGAGCGCCCCAACCGGCGCACCGAATTATGCGGGGCTGGACCTGCGTGAAAGCCAAATTTGGGGGAAATGTCTAAGTGTCCCACTGAAGTAGGCCCTTAAACCTGCCAAAGTTTAACACTTGTGGGCTGGATTTTCACCTTAAACAGATGGCAACAGAGGGAAAATCCGCTTCAAACGGGGGCCACAAGAGGGACAGGCAATTCAGACAAGTCAACTGCTGGAGTCAGCATGAGCAGGTGCCTCGAGGTCTTTCGACTAAAATCGGTCGGCGGCCCAATGTGGTCTCCAGTTCAGTAATATTTCATCCTGGTATTAAGAAAGCAGCTTCACTCTTCTCCTCGGCGAAATCTCGGAGTCAACGGCTTCCGATGGCTTTAGTCCGTGACGGATCGGGAGGTCAACGGGCTACCACTACACCATTGGCCTCAAGTCGGGCAATGCGTTCCTTCGTTAGTCCCGCTTCCGCCAGGATTTCCTCCGCATCAGTGCCTAGTATCGGGGTGGGTCGCCCCACTCGCATGGGAGTTTCGAACAGATGTGCAGTGCTGCCCAGATGGTCCGCGCTTCCCTGCCCTGGGTGATCCCTTGTTACTATTAGACCCGATTCCCTGACATGGTTAGCGTCCCGAAAGTCTGCTATTCCCATATTCTCGGTGGCTGCTATTCCCGCACCCGTCAGGCGTGCCACCCAGTGGGAACAGGACTTCATGGTAAAGACCTTGGCCAATTCCTGGGCGATTTCGCTGTTCTGGCCTGGTTGCCCCTCACCGGTTTTAGCAACCTCGGGTTTATTCTCCAGATGAGCAAATTCCTCCAACTCGAAGAGGTTCTTAATTGCATAGGGGTCCCGGCAATGCAGGTAGAACCAGCCATCGCTGGCTTGGTATAGCCTGGAGAAAGCAGAAATGCCCCGAAGGCCCCGACCCTCGGGCTCATTTCGTTGGTGACCGTCGAAGTTTAGGAAGAAGGGAGACTGGAGTAATCCGGCGGTCAGGGCCAACCCGCTGTCCACTGGCTGTCCTTTGCCGGTCCGGTTCCGTTCGTGGATAGCCAAAGCCACAGCATACGCGCCCATCATGCCTGTCCCGTAGTCGTTTACAGGATAAGGCATGAGCATGGGAGCGTCGTCCCGACCGCCTCGGCGCACTTGCATGCCGCTGGTGGCCTGGGCTAGTTGTTCCCACCCCGGTCGTTCGCTCCAGGGCCCATCATAGCCGTATGCGTTCAGCGACGCGTATATCAGGTCGGTTTTCGTTGGCGGAGGCTTTCGTAGTCCAGGCCCAGCTTAGCCAGACTGCCCTTGCGGTAGTTCTCCACGACCACGTCCGCGGTTTCGAGGAGTTCGAAAAAAACCCGGCGACCCTCTTCTTTCTTGAGGTCCAGCAATATGCTGCGTTTGCCCCGGTTCACGTCTAGGGAACCGGAAGGATCGTAAGGGCGGGAAGGGTCGTCAATCTTAATGACGTCGGCACCGTACTCGGCCAGGGTTCGTCCGCAAGTGGGACCGGCCAGAACAATGCAAAGGTCCAGAACCCTAACGCCTTGCAAGGCGCTGAGTATCTTTCCGTCCTGGCCGTTAACGGACTTTGGGCTAGCCGATACAGTGCCAGCGGATTTGGTGTCCAGTTCCTTCAACACTTGTTCAAGTGTGCTCGCCAAGCAGGGGAGCGCGGCGCTGGATAGCTCCGGGTGTGCCTCGCAGCCGGACTTGAACGCCGGGCTGCTTCATGCGACCCAGGACTGCGTCTTCAACTTCTTCCACCATTTTGGCATCCAATGAATGCGGGTGATCCAGCCATTCCTCCACCGTCTTGCATACGGTACAAGCTCCGCCGGCGGCGCTGATGGACTCCTGCCATTCCAGGGCAGTACGCTGCCTGAAGGTCTCTTCAAATCGCTGTGTCCACATATCGGCAGTTTCGACGTCCAGGGGCTTCCCAAAATCCTTAACGGCCTCCGGCCCCCAATCCGGATTCCCTGCGGCCTCCAGGAACTGGTAAACAAACCTTTGGTAGTTGCCGTGATTCTGTACCCAGCGCCCGTCGGCGCACTGGTACTGGCGTTGCATCGGTAGGCGCGGCTGAACGCGGGGGTCAGGGTCTTCGATGTCGTTAAATTTGACCAGATGGCGGCCCATTGCAGTGAACATGGCGTCGTAAAGAGGGACTTCAATAAAGCTGCCCCAAATCGCTGCGATCCCTCGCGCAAAGTGCCATGGTTACTGCGACAGCCCCAACAATGGCGGCGAAAGTGCTGGCTATGGGCAAAGGGGAGTACAGGGGTTTGTCGGACTCATCAACCTGGGGGAAAAGACCCGTCGCGGCGCCAACTACAGGTTCCCATCCTTGCCGGTGCCGATCAGGGTGATTCTCGCCGAAACCTGGAAGGGAGCAGTACACCAGCCTGGGGTTTGAGGAGGCCAATTCATCGTAGCCTATTCCAAGACGCTCGGCCACGCCTGGCCGAAAATTCTCTATTAGCAGGTCAGCGTCTAACGCTAATTTGCGGGCGGTTTCCCTGCCGTATTCGGTCTTGAGGTCCAGGACTACGCTTCGTTTGCCCCGGTTCCAGGTGGCGAAAGCCAGTTCTTCGCGGGTTGGGTCTCCCTGAGGACGCTCAATTTTTGTGACCTCAGCGCCCTGGTCGGAAAGGAGCATGCCCAACAAGGGCCCCGCGATGTAGTGACCAAAGTCCATAACCTTCAGTCCCCTTAATGCTCCCGAAGCAGCCTCTGTTGCACTTTCATTCTTGGTCATCTCTAGTCCTCAGCCAATTCAATGCTCATGGGAGTGCCGGACCCGACCTGCCTGAATACCGTTACGTCTCCGCTTGCCTTGCCAATAATCGTAACCGCGCTGGCGGGCCGTATTTCGTCGCCTCGACTGGCCGGAGTACGTCCAAAGAAGATGCAAAACGCCCGACCGGGAGGCCAATAGCCCAACTCGCCCATTTCCACGGTTTCCTGCCCGTCTTCCAGTCCGACATCCACTGGAATCCCGAAATAGATCTCATCGCCCCATGTGCTGGCCGAAGCCGAAATGGGCAGGGCCCCAAGAATTGCCAGAGCAGTCTCGGTTTCGTTAAGGGTTGCCTCGACTTGCACTGGCCCGGCTGTTATAAGGATTTTCCGGCCCATCAATAGCTCTCCGTCGACGTGCTTTATATGGCAAATTTACATTTGAAGAGAATGCCCATAACCGGCTCAATTACACTCGATTGTTCCTGGTCACGACCTAACCGAGGGAGCAAACCTTTCCGGCCCGCAGTGTTCCAGGGGTACGTCCGTCATTCCCGTTGTTATGAGGTCTGCGGTGGCCTTGCCCATTCCGGGACTCAAGAGAATTCCCTTCTTGCCGGCTCCGGTTGCCAGGTAAACGTTGTCCCAGCCCGGAGCCTGCCCCACTATGGGCATGTAGTCGGGCGTTATTGGGCGGAGGCAAGCGGTATGTTGTGCCAGAGTGGCACCAGCCAAGTCAGGGAGGAGGTTCGAGGCTGCTCCCCAGATGGTTTCCTTGGCTGCTTCTGTTGGTTCTCTATTGAATCCCTCATTGACCTCGGTGGTCCCGCACCAGATCAGTCCGTCCTGTCGTGGGTACAGAGAGGCTCCGGCGCCATGAAAGTCTGATGGCAGATGAGGACCGTCCATCTGTAGCCGCAGAATCTCTCCCTTAAGGGGATCCACAGGCAACGAAATGTCCAACCAGGGTTCAGCCTCTCTAGACCACGGGCCAGCAGCCAACACAACCTGATCGCACTCAAGCTCTCCGTCGTCGAGGATAACCGACCGCACTCTTCCGCTGCTGACGCGAACACCCCGTGCTGCTCCCGAACGTACCTCCACTCCCTTTTTCATCGCGACATCTGCCAAGGCTTGGGTGTAATGGAGGCTGTTCAGCGTGGCGTTCCCGTAAAGCCTGACGCCCCCTATCAGTCCTGGCGAAAGCCGGGGCTCCAGTTCCAACAATTGACGCCGGTCAAGCCACTCACCGGAAAAGCCTTCGTCCCTGGCATCGTCAAAAAGGGTTACCGACTCCTGGAAAGTGGGAAACTCTTCCTCCGAGAAGGCCACCTTGGTCAGGGATACGATACGTCCTTGAAAGTCAATGCTGCTTTCGTGTCTCAGTGCGCCCCACAGTTCCTTGTGCAGCTTGAAAGATGTCATGGCCAGGGCCGAAAGAGGCCCGGGAATACAGGACCCCTCCAGCGGATTGAGACCGCCTGCCGAAAATCCTGAAGCCTGAGAGCTGATTCCCTCTCTCTCGATGATAGTTACCTTTACTCCTGCCAGTGAAAGGTAATATGCGGTGGCGCAACCGGCCACACCGCCTCCTACGATCACAACATCGCTGGTTTCTGACATTTTGAGTAGCGCTCCTCAAGCCAATTGGTAAGTGAATGGGGTTGGGTCTGAGTGGGGTGTGCGATAAAATTGGAGGAAATTACACCGTAGAACGGGAGGGAATATGCCCATATACGAATACTACTGCGCCAACTGCAATGTTGAGTACGAAGCGATTCGCCCCGCATCGCAGGCGGACAGCCCGGTCCCGTGCAAGACTTGCAACCAACCCGGGGAAAGGCAACTCTCCACCTTTTCCTTCAAGTCGAACACCTTTTCTGCTCCCAAGCTGAAGCCCGCCACCAAACCCAAGCGTTCGTACACGACTGAAAGCCAGGAGAACCCTTAATGCCGGTCAGTTCCTGTTCTGTCCGTCTAAAGCCCGAGCCTCGTTGCAGGGAATGCAGGCACAGATTGACCGAAGGAACCTGAAGGTGTAAATGCCCGTATAGTGGGCGTCGTTCCACAGGAACTGGTAGGCATAGTTTCCGACGGGCAACTGGTCGATGGCCCGAACTTCCTCAGGAACACTGTCCGGGTCCAGCCGGGGCCGCCCGGTCATCTCTTCAACACAACTGGCGCACTGACATCTCAGGCGTAGCATCCTGTGGGGATAAACGCTGCGGTGACCGTCATCCCAAAGGATGATGATGGAGGCTCCTTCGATATCTACTTCCTTGGGAAAAACCGCTTCTTCCATTTAAGCTGACCTGTCTCCTGTTCACAGACCTTTTCCGTCTCGGTGGACACTTAAGGGCGGGACTCCGGCGCTTGAACCTCGGCCAACCTGGCCGGACGGGGCATTCGTCGGGGTCCGTGGGTATCTCGATAATGCTGGGCCCGTCAACGTTCAGGGCCGCTATCAAGGCATCTCCGATGTCTTCCGGGCGTTCAACATAGAACCCGTGGCCACCGAAAAGTTCTGCATATCGGTCGTAGCGAGGATTGTTGGTGTCGGCGCCAACGTAGCGTTCGTCAAAGGCGTACCGCTGGTATGCCTTCTCAGAACCCCAGCAACTGTTGTTCATGATTACCGTAACAACCCGCAAGTTGTAACGGACGGCCGTGGCAAATTCCTGGGCATTGAAAAGAAAGCCACCATCACCGTTGAAATTGACTACCGGGCGGTCGGGCGCCGCAAACTTTGCGCCCAGAGAAGCAGGGAAGCTAAAGCCGAGGCCGCCAAGGTCAAGTGATGTCATCAAGCTGCGAGGATGGTAAAAATTCAACCGGTCCTGGCCAAAGTTGGGCGCCAACCCTGCATCCAGCGCAACGATGGCATCCCGGGGCATCACCTTTCGTAGCTCGCCATAGACTCGCTGGGGTTTGATGGGATTGGAACTGTCCCTGGCCTCACTCTCCAGCCTGCCCTGACGGCGCACTGCCCAATCATGGATATCCGAGACCCACTGGGGGTTAGCGCGCGGTTCCTGCTCGCGTACCCTCTCCAGCATCTCCCGCAGGACCGCCTGGGCATCTCCTTCGATGCCGACCTCAACCGGATAATTCCGGCCGATTTCCTGGGGGTCGATCTCTATCTGAACAATGCGGGCGTCGGCAGGGATATAACGGTTGTCATAAAAAGTCGTTGACTGGCTCAGCCTGGTGCCGGCGGCCAGGATGACGTCCGCTTGCCGTACGGCCTCTATACCTTCATCCGCACCCAGCCTGCCCAGGTGACCCAGGAAAAGGGGATGGTCGTTGGAAACGGCGTCCGCGCGACCGTAAGAGGTGACGATGGCAGCGCCCAGCAAATTGGCCAGTTGCGCAACCTCTTCCCCGGCGTTGCTCCACTGGACTCCGCCGCCGGCCACGATAACCGGCCTCTGGGCGGATAAGAGGGTGCGGGCTGCCCGGTCGATCAGGTCTCGGTCACCGCGAGAGCGGGTCTGGCCGGAGCGATAGCTCTGGGGCGGCAGCAAGTCCAGGTCGATTTCTGCGCCAGGCAGCAGGTCCCTGGGAATGTCCACCATCACGGGCCCCATCTTGCCGGAGGTAGCAATTCGGAAGGCCTGCCTCAAAGCATCTGGCAGCCTCTCAATCTTGTTGATCGGAAAGCTGGCCTTGGTGATGGGCTTGAACAGGGCTACCTGGTCGAATTCCTGGGTAGAATCCCGGTACTGGTGGTCGCGGGATGCGGAAGGAGCCAGCACCACTACCGGCGAGTGAGCCACGTAGGCCGAGCCTATGCCGTAGGTCAGGTTCAGGACACCCGGCCCGTTGGTGGCCAGGCACACGGAGGGAGCGCCGGAAATGCGGCTGAACCCGTCGGCCATCAGCGCCGCGCCCTGCTCGTGGCGGACTCCCACGAACTGCATGGAATCGTCATCATAGAGAGGATCCAGAATGTCCAGGAAGGAAGACCCTACGATGCCAAAAATGTGGGAAACGCCTTCCTGTCGGAGCATCTCAATGACGGCTTCGCCGGCCTTTTGACGTGGGGACACGCTGGATACCTCCGTACTTTGATAATTGCTGTTCTGCTGAGGATTCAAATGCGGAGCAAGTTTAGCATAAATGGGGACGCGGCTGGGGGCTAAAGGCTGAAGGCTGTTGTCTTGCTAAAATGTCCTTAAGTCAAGCGCCAAAGGTAATGATGCTAATGGAGACTAAGCAATGAGTGATCCATTTCAAAACGAAACAATACGAAACGGGTTCTTTGCTAACAGAATGGCCACCCACAGCCTGCCAAGAAGGATTGGAACTGTAGGCTCCAGTCCATTTGAGGAAACTGAATTTGACAATTTCCTGAAAGAATTCGGGTTTGAGATTTTTGCACCCTCAGAAAAGTTAAATGTATTGATCATCGGAAGATCGGATTGGGAGGAAAAAGCTTTGCATGAGGTGATTGAGAGCAGGAGAGGCAGAGAGCTAAGGGTTTACTCGCAAGAGATGTTGCTGTCCTACTTGGGTTCTGGCAAAGACCTACTAGACTATCCTGAAGTCTCGACTGGCTTCAGCGAAGGGCACCCCGCATTGGAGCACATTGTAGAGTGGGGATTCGATTGGCCCAACTCAAGAATTGTGCCTCCATTCCAGTCATCGGGTGGTGTGTCGATAAAAGGATGGAATGAAAAGAGCCTCCCTAAATCCATGGGGTAAAACACCGGAGTAAAAGGAGGAAACCAAAATAAGCGAAGGGAAGCCCTTAGGAGAGCTTTCTTGGAGCAATTGCCCGCTGAATCCGACTCCTATGGCGTGACGGATTGGGGAACTCCCGGTTCCGGTGTTCGATTGCAAAAAATAGCCGAACGCCTAAGAATAAATGTCACTAACCAAAGTGCGCTTGGCCACCACGAGGCTGCGAAGCAAAACCTTGATGACCTGCGTTGGCTAAGATTGAGTATTATGACGGAAGGCATACATTTCGCTGGCCGTCCCACACTGCATTATGAGAAGACTCCAAACCAGCGATCCTTTAAACTGGCAAAAATGCCACTGATCGATGATTCAATCTACACCAATAGAATCCAACTCATTCTTGAGGTCTGCTTCTTGACAACCTCACTCCCAATAGTATAATAGCCCACAGTCTAGAATTGGTCTGACCACTTGGCTGAGACGGACAGATGCAGGAACGTATCCATAGCGTTAAGCGTCACAGGTTGTACGAAGAAATCGTGCAGCAGTTTCATGCCCTCATCCGCCAGGGAATGCTGAAACACGGCGACCGTCTCCCCTCGGAGCGAGAGTTGTCGGAACAGTTCAAAGTCAGCCGCAGTTCAGTGCGGGAGGCCATCCGATCCCTGGAACTGCAAGGATTAGTGGTCAGCAAGCGCGGGTCCGGTACCTTCATAAACACCGAAGACCTGGAGGCTACGCTGGACTTGGTGGCGGCGAATCTCAACGTCGGAGAGGCGGCTCTGCAGGACGTATTTGAGATGCGCCACCTCATGGAACCCCACATCGCGGCCCTGGCAGCCCAGCGCGCTACCCCGGATGAGGTGGAAGCCATGCGGGAAATTCTGGAGGAGCAGCAGCGCCAGATCGATTTCGGTGAGACCGGGGTCGAATCGGATACCGCTTTCCATTTTGCCTTGGCGTCTGCAACTCACAACTCAGCCTCATCAAAGTCGTAAGCGCCGTAGAGGATATTCTCCAGTTGTCACGGGACCGGTCCCTCCAGGAACCCGGAAGGCCGCAGCGCTCACTGGCGTCCCATTGCCAAATACTGCAGATGGTGGAAATGGGTGACGTTAACGGGGCGCAACAGGCTATGGACCACCACCTGACATCTGTGGAGCCTTCGGTCCGTCCGGCTGTTGAAAGGGAACCCGCTGTCTTGCCGGCTGACGATTAAGGGCATCTTAAAGACCCAATCTTACCCACAACGGAACCAAGAGCGGCTCATCATCCAAACCAAAAATTACAGGAGGAACCCATATGAGCACAGTAGCTGTGGAGGTGGTGTACCGGGGTATTTTCCAGAAAACCCTGGCTCGGAACATCGTCCGCTCCATAGTGTTTGCTGCCAGGAAGGAAGGCAAGATCGGCACTGCCTTTGGACGCTACGGCGACTCGCCGGAACGTAACGGCATACCCGCCAAGCAGTTTGCCATCGTCGCCGACAACGCAGAGGAACTGGAAGAGAACCTGGCAGTTTACGAAGCGCAGGAAGTTGACGTAACCATCAACGTGGACGACACCATGTGCAAGGGCATTGAGTCCTGGGCATGGTACGGTTTGCAGCCCATCAACGCCCTTACCAAGGCCGGAGGGACCTTGATTGTCACCTCTCGCCAGGAAACCGATGAGTTGATTGAAGACATCCACCAGAAGGACCAGCCCTACAATATCTCGGTGGTGACATCCATTCCCAGCTTCTCCGGGCTCTGGGTTTACAAGGACGACCACACCGACGTCCGAATACTTGGCGCTTTGGCCAAGGTATGCCCCCCAGTTGGTCAGCCTGGAATCCATGATTGAGGCCATTCAGGACCAGGGATGGGACGAAGTGAAGGTCCAATCGGCCGAGCGGACCTACGAACGGACTGGGATGCACCCGGTCGAGCCTGGTGAAGGCAACCAGGAAGAGCCATTCAGTTTTGACTTGCCCGGTTGGACCACCATGGAAGAAGGTCTGGTCATCAGGGGCATCGAACAGGGCGGCGGATTCCGGGGCGGCGAAGAGGGTTATCAGCCCGTCCGAAACTCCGTTTTCAAGAAATACAGCACTCGCTCCATGCGCCCCATTGTAAACTTCGATACCTGTATCAAGTGCACCCTCTGCTGGCTACAGTGCCCGGACACATGCTTCGACGTGACTCCGGACGGCCTGTACGATGCCAACTTGGATTCCTGCTGCGGTTGCGGCGTCTGCGAAGCGGTCTGCCCGGTGGCCGACTGTGTCACCATGATTACCGAGGCCGAGTTCAACGACAACGACAGCCAGTACGAAATGTGGCAGAAGGACAAAGAGGGCTACACCCAGTGGATGACCTCATTGATAGAGAAGCAGAAGCAGGTTGATCGCACTCACGGCTTCCACCACGTTGGCGGTTATGCCGAGCAAATTGCCGAGGTAGCGGAGGATTAATGACTACTGTTGAAGAACAACTGTTTATGACCGAAAAAGAGGAGTTGATCAGCGGCAGCGAGGCCGTGGCCATTGCCTGTGCCCTGGCCGATGTTGACGTGATCACTGCCTACCCCATACGGCCTTACGACACGGTGATGCAATACGTGTCCAAGCTCAAGGCTGACGGCGCCTTCGACTGCGACTTCATTGTGGCCGAAAGCGAACATTCCCAGTTTGAAATTGTAAAGCACGCTTCCTCCGTGGGCGCCCGCACTTTCTGCGGCTCTAGTGGCGTTGGCTGGTTCTACGCCTTCGAGGCCATCGCGGTGACCGCCGGTCTTCGTTTGCCCGTGGTAGCCATGGTCGGCAACCGCGCTCTGGACGACCCCGGCGCCTTCGGCGTGGAGCACAATGACGCCATGGCCGTCCGCGACTTGGGCTGGATGCTCTATTGGGTCGCTACGGCGCAGGAAGCCCTTGATATTGCGCTGATGGCCTATAAGATCGCAGAGGACTCCCGGACTTTCCTGCCCTTTGCTCTCAGCTGCGACGGTTCCTTCCTTACGCACTCCCAGGCCATAGTCAACGTGCCGACCCAGGAACAGGTGCAGAGGTTCCTCCCCAACTATGATCGGGGCCGCTTGCAGTTGCACCCGGACAACCCCATCACCGTCGCTCCCCAGGTTAACGAAGACTGGCTGATGGAGATCCGCCGACAGTCCGACGAGGCCATGCACCGGACGCCTGGCGTCATCAGAGAGGTGTACGAAGAGTTCAAGCAGGTCTTCGGGCGCGGCGACCCCAGCCCCTTCATCGAAGAATACATGACTGATGACGATCCTGACATCATTCTGGTCGGTATGGGAACCCTTGCACTCCCCGTCCGCGTCGCTATCCGGCGCATGCGCGAGCAAGGTAAGAAGGTGGGCTTCGTTCGCATGAAGTTCTTCCGGCCCTTCCCCACTGATGAAGTTCAGCAAGTCCTGGGCAAGGCCAAGGCCGTAGCCGTGGTTGACCGCGACTACTCCTTTGGTTCGCCTTCCTTCGGCGGCGTACTCTTCAACGAAATCCGCTCCGCCTTGTATCCGTTGGAGAAGCGGCCCCATGTGGTAAACTTCATTGCCGGACTGGGTGGACGTGAAGTCCGCGTAAGAGACGTGGAAGACATGGTCGATATTACCCAAAAGGCGATAGATACTGGTAGAATAGAAGCCGAATGTAACTGGATCGGAGTGAGGGAGTAGACATTATGACACTAGTACGAGACCTCCCCCAGGTTCGGGGTGTCAAGAATATACCAGGTCAGGAAGGATTTACTTCTGGACACCGCACCTGTCAGGGCTGCGAGTCGGCGCTGACTATGCGGCTGATGATCAAGGCCGCCGGCCCTCGCACCATTGTGGTGGGCAGCACGGCTGCATGTACGTGGCTAACACTACCTAGTACAGCACGCCTTGGGTAGTGCCCTGGTGCACACTCAGTGTTCTCTGCGCCGCTGCCACCGGCACCGCCGCCGGACTGGCTTCCATGATGCGCAAGGGTAAGATGAGAGGACGAAACCCATCAATGTCATCGCCTTCTGTGGCGACGGTGGCGGTGTGGATATGGGTCTGTCGGGTATTTCGGCGCCCTGCAGCACGAGGAGTAACAACCTGCTATCCTCTGCTACGACAACGAGTCCTACGCAAACACCGACATTCAGGTTGTCCGGCAGTTCACTTGGGGAGCCAACTCCACTTCAGCCACTCCGGCAAGGTACCACGGATCATGAACCCGCGCTGTGGAAGAAGAATACCGCCCCATGCTGGCCGCCGGCCACCCCAGTTGCCGGTATGTGCTACTGCCTGTGCTTCCTGACGGGCTGGACTTTCACCAACAGAGTCGCCGGCCCTGACATGTGGTGGACCCACTTCGTTTCACGTCATCGCGCCCAAGGGCTGGGACTACTGACCCACAGTATTCCCACGAGTTGGGTATGACTGGCCGTGGCGACGGGTTTGTGGGTTCAGGACGAGATTGCCGACGGCGAACTGATTTACAACAACAGTGGTGGCGGCCCCACGCATCAGCAATGGCGTTCGCCAGCGCAGCTGTCAAGGACTACACTGCAGCGCCAGGGTCGCTTCGTCTCACGATGCTCGAAGAGGACCTCGACTCTTTACCAGTCCGCGTTGACGATAGCTGGGAAAAGTGGTGGATTCCTGGCATCGTACCTTCAGCGAAGAGTAAGGCTGAAAACGGAAGGACTTAGGTGACTAAACCAAAGGGCGCCGACAAGTGCGGCGCTCTTACTTATTTAGGAGAAATTTGGTAGACAGATCATAGTCTGTTACTCACATGAAAGAAGAGTGAGCAAGTTACGAAAGGGTTTTCCTCGCTTCTACCTCAACTTGCCTAAACATTCTTCAAGGCTTTAAAGTAGGGAAACTTACCCTACAGTCCAGAAAAAGGAGCGTACCATCGATGGATTCCGATTAATCTTTACGACTATGAGCACGGTGCAAAGTTAGGCTTCCTCACAACAACTGGGAATTTATCGAAGCGGGGCCATGGACGAATTTTTTACGACGGCCCGCAATCGGTCTGCCTTTGAAGACTTGACCATTCGACCCCGTTTCCTCGCAACATCGACAATCGGGACCTGTCACTACCATGTTGGAACGGGAAGTCAGCATGCCCGTATTTTAACGTTTGTTGCCCGCGAGCGCACACGCTGGCTCATGTGCAGATCGGAGGGTGCTGGCTACATGCAGGGGCGCCGGATGTACGATTACCCGGATGATGCGTTTCAGCACCTCGTCACCACTACAGTCATGAGGAAGTTTCCGGAGTGGTTAGCGCCTCTCGTCACTATGTTCCAGCTTTATCACCCGGGCCAATCGACCCCGCCTGACGGAAATGCTGGTACACATAGCGCTGGAGGCAGGCTCAAGGCCATCGTGCTCACCGTCGTCAGTTTACGCCGGTGCCTTCCTCAAGGGAAGCGGGACGATGCGAAACCGTACGTCAATTCCCGCCGAACTGGCGACACTTCCAGCGCGACCAACGGATCGATGCTGAAGTCAGTGGCAGACCGACGAGGCTCCCAACTGACAGCCACTCGCACCCAACCGGCTGTTCCACCCCTGAGCTGCGAACAGCTGGCTGCTGCTGCGGGGTCTAACTGGCTCAAGAAACACTAGTGCTCAATCAGGGTCAGGACATTGCAGAGGACGCTCATATTGCCGCTAGAGAGAGCGGCGTAAACGGCATCCTGTATCCATCCACGGCGGCCGGCAAATTTGGACTCCACGTTGAGTTCGGTGGAGGGAGAAAGATTCCCTGTTTTGCGCGGGATGTGGGTGGCCGGAGCTCGTTGAAGGTAAACCGAAACGTGAGGTCTATCTCGGACTCGGTGTTTCGGGTGGAAGCACGACGTATTGAAGGCCATGGGCTCTGGGGGCCAAGGCAGTGGGGTAGGCCGACATGTATTTGGGCCTCTCCGAAGACGGCGGAGGGTGTTCAGCGGCAGTCCTGGGGAAATTTTCTGCGTTCCGAGTTTGGACCGAGCGTGGCAAGTTG